CTGTAGGAGATCACGCCAACATATATTTACCCATCAGGCATCACGGGGGATTTTCTAACTGCTGTTTACACCAGTAGTAAATTTTGTTTCCCACCGCACAGGTGTACTGATATCTGCGGGAACGTTAAATCTACAGATATTTTAAGAGAGTTTGGCGTGTTAGCGATCCCTGTCTCACTGTGATTAAATTAAAGTCACACCAAACTGAATGGAATTTGGTCTGGTGTTTGCAAGTCTGGCAGAAAGTGCTACTCACGGCCAGAACCCCGTCCTCACTGATGACCAGGTACCCGAGCTGATCCGGGATCCGCTCCAGACCCGCAGTCAGAGCTGCTGTCGTCTGAAAACAACAGGAGCCGACTGAGCTAACAGGCTAACTGCTAACATGCTAACAGCCATTTCAGACAAACTGTAAAGTCCGAGTTACACAAACGTCTCAGAGTTTATATGAAACCATTCAAAGACCGGGACCGCGACCGGGACCACGACCGGGACCACGACCGGGACTGGGACTCACCATTCTTCTTCTTCTGTTTTACCACAAGTTGTAGCTCAGCAACATTTCCGTCTTTCTCTGTTTTTTTCACGTGACTGTGAGGCCTTCAGGTGCTGTCGGAAATTTAAAGCATTATTTAAAGTTTAATTTAAGTGTCTTCAGCTCATTTAAACATGCCTGGAATTTTCACTTTACTTCACGTACTAATGTAATTTATTATAAATAGATTTCATAGTTTACAGTTTAGACGGAGCCTCTTTGAACATGTTTTTGGGTCAGAGACTTCCTGTTTGATCAAAGCAAATCAAAGAACAAAACGTTCACAGGTTTCTAGTGAGCACCTGAAGGCAGCACGCTGCGTTATTGTTTTGAATTGTTTAATCTAAAATAGTTTGATGAAAGACGAGTTTGTGACTTACGAGTTTCCCTTAACGCAGCAGGGAGCGCTCTCGCGCTTCTGGTCGCTTTGTCCAGAGCGGAAGTGTTGCTCAGCTGACTTCCTCACGTGACCTGCAGCAGCTGACAGTGACGCGCGTTATTATTTCCTCCGTTTCTCCGTTAAATCGTGATAATTGAAGCGCGCGATGGCCGGACGCGGGAAACTGATCGCCGTGATCGGTGATGAGGACACGTGCACCGGATTCCTGCTCGGTGGGATCGGAGAACTCAACAAGAACCGGAAACCCAATTTCCTGGTGGTGGAAAAGGACACGAGCGTCACAGAGATCGAAGAGACCTTCAAGTAAGACTCCGCACCAAACCCCGTTCAGTAATCAGTGTATTTAAAGTGGTCCTGAGACCTGCAATCCTCCCTGTGAGGGACAGGATCTTAACCAGGAGGGCCCGGACGGCCCCTCGGTGAGCGACTGGACCAGCAGCAGATTTAAAACCGGGGTTTTCTAAGTGGCCTTTTGGTTAAAATGATCTGAAATTTATCTGTTTAATGAACTAATGCTTAATCTTAAACCAAACTCCATTCAAAAGTTAAGCAATTAATTAAATAACACCGTTGCCAGATGCCAAATGTTAAATCGGCTTGCAGCAAATAATTTTTAATCTATAACCTCTGATGGATGATTCGGTCGGCCAGATGTTCAAATCACCACGTGTTAACTTCTTAGATTTGTGAATGAAGGTTCGTCTGGTGTGTTTGTGGTCAGCGAACTAGAAACTGAACTCCTTTGACCCTGCAGAAGATCTCTTTTAATCATCAGCCAATGTTTGGTTAGAAATCACGTGCAGCCCTCCTCGGGGATCTTCTGCTCCTATTAATTCATAAAATATCGTCATTTCCAGAATCCGAGTGTTAAACTGATAGAAATCTGAATGAAGTTTGGTGTGTTTCATGTCTTTTTTTTCTTTTTTTTTTTCCTCCAGGAGCTTCCTGGCACGTAACGACATCGGCATCATCCTGATTAACCAGTTCATCGCTGAGATGATCCGTCACGCCATCGACGGCCATATGCAGTCGATCCCGGCCGTGCTGGAGATCCCGTCCAAAGAGCACCCATACGACGCGTCCAAGGACTCCATCCTGCGCCGGGCCAAGGGCATGTTCTCCGCCGAGGACTTCCGTTAAACGTTTCCGCTCTGTGCGATGAAGAGAAATGTCCCTGGCTTGTTGTTTCTGTACAGTGACGTTAGATTAACTGTATTTTCTAATCCCTGTCAAAACGTTTTCAGTTCGGGCAGGATGGGAAGTGATGAGCTTTCCTACCTCGCAGCTGAAAATATCTTGACGAGAGAAGAACTTGTTTTTGTGTCGTGTTTGTTCCAGAGGTTTAACTTATGAAACGGAAAATAAATGATCGTGTTCGTTGTGACTTTCTGCTTCTTCAATGTGTGAAACATCAAATCTTAAATGTCTGAAAACGTTTGTTCTTTAAAACGTGGCGTGTACGGAGGCCCTGAAGGGCCACGGTGGGAAGAAGTCCTTCTGACCATGTTTCCTCTAATCTACAGGAACTGCAGTGTGCGGGTCCAGTCACAATGTACACTGTGTACTATATATAAGTATAATTATACTGTATACATACTGTGTGTGTGTGTGTGTGTGTGTGTGTATATTTATACAGTATAGCCTGAATAAAGGCAGGATGCAGCAGCCAATAGTAGCTCAGGAGCAACAGCCCGTGTCATCAAATGCACTTTGAGCTGCGGGGCGCCGTCACGTCACTAAACAAACTGCAAACACTTGTTTTTCACCAGCTGAGGCTGAAAGTTTTCTTTGCTCAACAGTGAAGCTTCGTGTCTCAGACGAAACCTACAGAGAACAAGACAAAGACCGTCTGAGCTGCAGGTCCTGGAGTTTCAGGTCTGGTTGCTGCAGGTCCAGGAGCTCAGGGATTGGTCATCTTTCACAGCAGAGACGAGATGAGGCTGTGTGCTGATGTCATGATGACATCACCGCTGAGGTCAGTGCGGTTCCCATCAACCCACTGATATCAGCTGGGAAAGTCAATATTGAAACAGCGCCGCGGCCGTCGTCCTCCTGCAGACCTTGGGCCGACCTTCACAGGACTGTGCTGGTGCTGGATCTGGATTCTGTGACCCTGAAACAAACAGTATAAATCCATCGGGGCGAGTCAGACCCTCTGGCAGTGTCAGACCTGCTCCCTCTCTCTGCTGGATCAGATGATGACGACTGTTCAGGCTCCCGCTCTCTGTCTGATGATGATGATGGTGGGTTCTGGTTCTGCCGGTCCGCTTCCTCCTTCACTCGACGGCTCCAGGTGAGTCTCGCACAGCTTTAGGCAGAATGTTGATATCTGTGCCTTCCCGTCAGAGACCTGATCCGACTCTTCTGTGCTGCAGCACACAGACCCTCTCCAGGTGAGGAGCCCCGACTCAGATCTGGACTTTAGATCAGCACCATGAGGGAGAAGCTTCCGTTGTCATGCTGGAATCACCAGAATCGTCCGACTCCATAATCCCAACCTTATCCATTCACAAGAAACAAAGTTAAACCGCTGACATTTCGGATCTCAAGGTTTTAAACACAGAAGTTTTGTTTCTCACTCGATAAGACAAATCAGAATCAACAGCTCGCCGGATGACTTCACACACACACACACACACGTGTACAGTATCTCACCAAAGTGAGTCCACCCCTCACATTTGTGTAAACATCTGATTCTATCTTTTCATGTGACAACACTGAAGAAATGACCCTTTGCTCCAGTGTAAAGTAGAGTGTGCAGCTTGTAGAACAGTGTAAAGTAGTGAGCGTGCAGCTTGTATAACAGTGTAAAGTAGTGAGCGTACAGCTTGTATAACAGCGTAAAGTGGTGAGCGTGCAGCTTGTATAACTGTAAAGTAGTGAGCGTGCAGCTTGTGCAGCTTGTATAACAGTGTAAAGTAGTGAGCGTGCAGCTTGTATAACAGCGTAAAGTAGTGAGCGTGCAGCTTGTATAACAGCGTAAAGTAGTGAGCGTACAGCTTGTGCAGCTTGTATAACAGCGTAAAGTGGTGAGCATGCAGCTTGTGCAGCTTGTATAACAGTGTAAAGTAGTGAGCGTACAGCTTGTATAACAGCGTAAAGTAGTGAGCGTACAGCTTGTATAACAGCGTAAAGTAGTGAGCGTGCAGCTTGTATAACAGCGTAAAGTAGTGAGCGTGCAGCTTGTATAACAGCGGAAAGTAGTGAGCGTACAGCTTGTATAACAGTGGAAAGTAGTGAGCGTGCAGCTTGTATAACAGTGGAAAGTAGTGAGCGTGCAGCTTGTATAACAGTGTAAAGTAGTGAGCGTACAGCTTGTATAACAGCGTAAAGTAGTGAGCGTACAGCTTGTATAACAGCGTAAAGTGGTGAGCGTGCAGCTTGTATAACAGTGTAAAGTAGTGAGCGTACAGCTTGTATAACAGCGTAAAGTGGTGAGCGTGCAGCTTGTATAACAGCGTAAAGTAGTGAGCGTGCAGCTTGTATAACAGCGTAATGTGGTGAGCGTGCAGCTTGTATAACAGCGGAAAGTAGTGAGCGTACAGCTTGTATAACAGTGTAAAGTGGTGAGCGTGCAGCTTGTATAACAGTGGAAAGTAGTGAGCGTGCAGCTTGTATAACAGTGGAAAGTAGTGAGCGTGCAGCTTGTATAACAGTGTAAAGTAGTGAGCGTACAGCTTGTATAACAGTGTAAAGTAGTGAGCGTACAGCTTGTATAACAGCGTAAAGTGGTGAGCGTGCAGCTTGTATAACAGTGTAAAGTAGTGAGCGTGCAGCTTGTATAACAGCGTAAAGTGGTGAGCGTGCAGCTTGTATAACAGTGTAAAGTAGTGAGCGTACAGCTTGTATAACAGCGTAAAGTGGTGAGCGTGCAGCTTGTATAACAGCGTAAAGTAGTGAGCGTACAGCTTGTATAACAGCGTAAAGTGGTGAGCGTGCAGCTTGTATAACAGTGTAAAGTAGTGAGCGTACAGCTTGTATAACAGCGTAAAGTGGTGAGCGTGCAGCTTGTATAACAGCGTAAAGTAGTGAGCATGCAGCTTGTGCAGCTTGTATAACAGTGTAAAGATGTGAGCGTACAGCTTGTATAACAGCGTAAAGTGGTGAGCGTGCAGCTTGTATAACAGCGTAAAGTAGTGAGCATGCAGCTTGTGCAGCTTGTATAACAGTGTAAAGATGTGAGCGTGCAGCTTGTATAACAGCGTAAAGTGGTGAGCGTGCGGCTTGTATAACAGTGTAAAGTAGTGAGCGTACAGCTTGTATAACAGCGTAAAGTGGTGAGCGTGCGGCTTGTATAACAGTGTAAAGTAGTGAGCGTACAGCTTGTATAACAGCGTAAAGTGGTGAGCGTGCAGCTTGTATAACAGTGTAAAGATGTGAGCGTGCAGCTTGTATAACAGCGTAAAGTGGTGAGCGTGCGGCTTGTATAACAGTGTAAAGTAGTGAGCGTACAGCTTGTATAACAGCGTAAAGTGGTGAGCGTGCGGCTTGTATAACAGTGTAAAGTAGTGAGCGTACAGCTTGTATAACAGCGTAAAGTGGTGAGCGTGCGGCTTGTATAACAGTGTAAAGTAGTGAGCGTACAGCTTGTATAACAGCGTAAAGTGGTGAGTGTGCAGCTTGTATAACAGCGTAAAGTAGTGAGCGTACAGCTTGTATAACAACGTAAAGTGGTGAGCGTGCAGCTTGTATAACAGCGTAAAGTAGTGAGCATGCAGCTTGTGCAGCTTGTATAACAGTGTAAAGTAGTGAGCGTACAGCTTGTATAACAGCGGAAAGTAGTGAGCGTGCAGCTTGTATAACAGTGTAAATCTGCTGTCCCCTCAAAATAACACATCACACAGCTATTAATGTCTAAACCGCTGGCAACGAAAGTGAGATTAGAATAGAATACAAAAATGTGAGGGGTGCATTCACTTTTGTGAGATACTGTGTGTAATATATGTGTATATATGTGTATATATATATATATATGTGTGTGTGTGCATGTGTATATACATTTAACACACATTTGAGAGTAGGCTTAAGACTTTCCTCTTTGATAAAGGGCATTACCTTTATCAAGAGTCCAGAGCCACGATCAGAACATCAGAACAGGTTCCTGCTGAGCAGCAGGTGAACAGATCTGTTTTCAGGTGTCAGCAAGAACATTTTTCTTTTCTCAGGGAGCAGCAGAAACAGTCTGTGTTCAGCAGTTACAGTGAGCTGAAAGCGCTCACCTCACACACACGCCTGCTGCCGCCAAGGTTGCATTGTCTTGAACTTTTTGTTTGCGACACGCAGCACGAATCACTGGAAGAGAGACTGATCCTCGCTGTTTGTGAGTTTCCAGAATCTATTACTGTTTAACTAAACAGGACATCAACAGGAATTCACACGGCAGAGCGTCCCCGCAAACCTAGATGAAGGCCTATAAAGTTATGTAGCCTGTAATTTTAACTTAAAGACCTATTAAAATGCTATACTAATGCTATACTGTAGTTCTGTGACTCCTGTACGGCAGCTTTGCATGATTCAAAGTTTAAAAAAAATTTTCTCATACTGACTCTTCATGTAGGCCTTCATTTCAGCCTCTGTCTAAAACAAGCTGTAGATGCTCCTGTCTCTTTAAGGCCCCCCCTCTCAAAGCCCACTGTCTTCTGATTGGACAAGACCTGAAGCATGTTACCAGGCTGTTGTTGTCACTGGGTGGAACAGGCAGACTGAGTGCTGCCTGCAGTTAGTGTGGGAGCACATGACCATATATGGAACACCAGCTGCTGGTAGAAAAAGCAGTTGAAAACAGAGCATTCAGAACAGGAGGAAATCTGAGGTTTATGCTCACAAGGATTTCTTATAAATACTTTAACCTCATGTTTTGAAACTTTGGCCATGTTTCATGGGCGGCTGTGGCTCAGGAGGTAGAGCAGGTTGCCCGTTAATTGGAAGGACGGTGGTTCAATCCCCGGCTCCTCCAGGCTGCATGTCGAAGTGTCCTTGGGCAAGATACTGAACTCCGAATTGCCCCTGCTGGCCGTTCCGTGAATGTTAGTTTCTGTTTGAGCACTTAGGCACAGTGAATGAATGTGGGTGAATGGTGAATGCAGATGTAGTGTGAGTGGTTGAAAAGACTAGAAAGGTGCTATACAGAGCATTTACAGTTTAACATCCAACATTATAACATTTTAGATGAGTCATAAAATGTGGAAAAGCATGTTCTCCTTTAAGTTAAATAGGCTACAGCTGTGTAGCGCACAGAAGCTGTTGCCATTGTTACTCTCGCGGAGCGCCGTCTCCCTGTCTGATCACCTGAGGAGCGCAGAGCGGCCCCACGGGGCCAAGAGACTACGCTGTGATTGTAAGAACGTTCCTCAGAGAGACATCTTCCCCAACACTAACCAGCATGCAGTGTGGAGCTCTCCACTTCACTGTGGCATTTGATCGCTTGTCTTGCGTTTGTTTACCTGTTTCTCCCACACGCTGCGTCCAGCGTAGTCTGCTGAAGCCTCCCAGGCTGATCAAAACCCCCCTCCTGTGACCCGTGGTCTGACTTATTCAGAGCCAGAGAGCAACGGACTTTCAAAATAATAATAATAAAAGCTGCGTTAACGTGCAATAAAATAATTGTTGGGGTTAATTAATTAATGCGCTAACGTGCCCAGCCCTAAAATATATGTGAAACATTACATCTCTTACATCTAGGTGCTGAACTTAAAATCTAGAAAAATCTTCGATTTCATCAAAGAAAATTAATTAGAGAACAAATACAGTTTAATCATAATAAATAGTTTGTTTAGTGCAGTTTTACTTTCTTCCTCAGGGACGCCGCGATGAACGGCACGATGAACACCACAATGAACGCCACGATGAACGCCACGATGAACACCACGATGAACGCCGCGATGAACTGTGTGAAGAACGCCGCGATGAACGCCACGATGAACGGCACGATGAACGCCACGATGAACGCCACGAAGAACGCCACGAAGAACGCCACGATGAACGCCGCGATGAACTGTGTGAAGAATGCCGCGATGAACGCCACGATGAACGCCACAATGAACGCCACGAAGAACGCCACGAAGAACGCCACGAAGAACGCCACGATAAACGCCACGATGAACGCCACGATGAACGCCACGATGAACGCCACGATGAACGCCACGAAGAACGCCACGATAAACGTCACGATGAACGACACACTTGGCCCCTTCAGGTGAGTCACCAGCTTCTGTGTTTTCGACTGAACACACTGATATATTCTCCTAATGTAAATATAAATACCTGTGCAGGTAAAACCAGGAGCTCTCCCAGGTTGGACTCCTCTCTATGAGCCTTTGACCTCTCTCAAATAATCTGATTGGTTGAGGGAAACACAGATGTTTTTTCTCTTGTTATGCTGTGATGTCATCATGTTTGAGTATTTATAAAAAACATAATGAAGATTGAGATCATCACTTCCTGCGGCATGTCAGCCCGTTAAAATTCGGTTCTTCTGTTTCCTCTGAATACAACCTTTATCTGTCTCACCTGTGGTGTTCACCTTGTCTCACCTGTGGTGTTCACCTTTACCTGTCTCACCTGTGGTGTTCACCTTTATTTACCTGTCTCACTTCTGGTGTGCACCTTTATTTACCTGTCTCACCTGTGGTGTTCACCTTTATCTGTCTCACCTGTGGTGTTCACCTTTATTTACCTGTCTCACCTGTGGTGTTCACCTTTATTTACCTGTCTCACCTGTGGTGTTCACCTTTATTTGCCTGTCTCACTTCTGGTGTGCACCTTTATTTACCTGTCTCACCTGTGGTGTGCTGAGGGAAACACGGTGGGTGGAGCCTCCAGACGTTTTTTCTCTTGTTATGCTGTGATGTCATCATGTTTGAGTATTTATAAAAAACATAATGAAGATTGAGATCATCACTTCCTGCGGCGTGTCAGCCGATTAAAATTCGGTTCTTCTGTTTCCTCAGAATACAACCTTTATCTGTCTCACCTGTGGTGTTCACCTTTATCGTTCTCACCTGTGGTGTTCACCTTTATTTACCTGTCTCACCTGTGGTGTTGACATTTATTTACCTGGCTCAACTTTGGTGTTCACCTTTACCTGTCTCACCTGTGGTGTGCTGAGGGAAACACGGTGGGTGGAGCCTCCAGACGTTTTTTCTCTTGTTATGCTGTGATGTCATCATGTTTGAGTATTTATAAAAAACATAATGAAGATTGAGATCATCACTTCCTGTGGCGTGTCAGCCGATTAAAATTCGGTTCTTCTGTTTCCTCAGAATACAACCTTTACCTGTCTCACCTGTGGTGTTCACCTTTGTCTGTCTCACCTGTGGTGTTCACCTTTATTTACCTGTCTCACCTGTGGTGTTCACCTTTATTTACCTGTCTCACCTGTGGTGTTCACCTTTATTTACCTGTCTCACCTGTGGTGTTCACTTTTCTGTCTCACCTGTGGTGTTCACCTTTATTACCTGTCTCACCTGTGGTGTTCACCTTTATCTGTCTCACCTGTGGTGTTCACCTTTATTTACCTGTCTCACCTGTGGTGTTCAACTTTATTTACCTGTCTCACCTGTGGTGTTCACCTTTATTTACCTGTCTCACCTGTGGTGTTCACCTTTATTTACCTGTCTCACCTGTGGTGTTCACCTTTACCTGTCTCACCTGTAGTGTTCACCTTTATTTGCCTGTCTCACTTCTGGTGTGCACCTTTATTTACCTGTCTCACCTGTGGTGTTCACCTTTATTTACCTGTCTCACCTGTGGTGTTCACCTTTATTTACCTGTCTCACTTCTGGTGTTCACCTTTACCTGTCTCACCTGTAGTGTTCACCTTTATTTACCTGTCTCACCTGTAGTGTTCACCTTTATTTGCCTGTCTCACTTCTGGTGTGCAACTTTATTTACCTGGCTCACCTGTGGTGTGCTGAGGGAAACACGGTGGGTGGAGCCTCCAGACGTTTTTTCTCTTGTTATACTGTGATGTCATCATCATGTTTGAGTATTTATAAAAAGCATAATGAAGATTGAGATCATCACTTCCTGTGGCGTGTCAGCCGATTAAAATTCGGTTCTTCTGTTTCCTCAGAATACAACCTTTATCTGTCTCACCTGTGGTGTTCACCTTTATTTACCTGTCTCACCTGTGGTGTTCAACTTTATTTACCTGTCTCACCTGTAGTGTTCACCTTTATCTGTCTCACCTGTGGTGTTCACCTTTATTTACCTGTCTCACCTGTGGTGTTCACCTTTATCTGTCTCACCTGTGGTGTTCACCTTTATTTACCTGTCTCACCTGTGGTGTTCAACTTTATTTACCTGTCTCACCTGTAGTGTTCACCTTTATCTGTCTCACCTGTGGTGTTCACCTTTATTTACCTGTCTCACCTGTGGTGTTCACCTTTATCTGTCTCACCTGTGGTGTTCACCTTTATCGTTCTCACCTGTGGTGTTCACCTTTATTTACCTGTCTCACCTGTGGTGTTGACATTTATTTACCTGGCTCAACTTTGGTGTTCACCTTTACCTGTCTCACCTGTGGTGTGCTGAGGGAAACACGGTGGGTGGAGCCTCCAGACGTTTTTTCTCTTGTTATGCTGTGATGTCATCATGTTTCAGTATTTATAAAAAGCATAATGAAGATTGAGATCATCACTTCCTGTGGCGTGTCAGACCGTTAAAATTCGGTTCTTCTGTTTCCTCAGAATACATCCTTTATCTGTCTCACCTGTGGTGTTCACCTTTATTTACCTGTCTCACTTCTGGTGTTCACCTTTATTTACCTGTCTCACCTGTGGTGTTCAACTTTATTTACCTGTCTCACCTGTGGTGTTCACATTTATTTACCTGGCTCAACTTTGGTGTTCACCTTTATTTACCTGTCCCACTTCTGGTGTTCACCTTTATTTACCTGTCTCACCTGTGGTTCACCTTTATTTACCTGTCTCACTTCTGGTGTTCACCTTTATTTACCTGTCTCACCTGTGGTGTTCACTTTATTTACCTGTCTCACCTGTGGTGTTCACATTTATTTACCTGGCTCAACTTTGGTGTTCACCTTTATTTACCTGTCCCACTTCTGGTGTTCACCTTTATTTACCTGTCTCACCTGTGGTGTTCACCTTTATTTACCTGTCTCACTTCTGGTGTTCACCTTTATTTACCTGTCTCACCTGTGGTGTTCAACTTTATTTATCTGTCTCACCTGTGGTGTTCACCTTTATTTACCTGTCTCACTTCTGGTGTTCACCTTTATTTACCTGTCCCACTTCTGGTGTTCACCTTTATTTACCTGTCCCACTTCTGGTGTTCACCTTTATTTACCTGTCTCACCTGTGGTGTTCACCTTTATTTACCTGTCTCACTTCTGGTGTTCACCTTTATTTACCTGTCTCACCTGTGGTGTTCAACTTTATTTACCTGTCTCACCTGTGGTGTTCACATTATTTACCTGGCTCAACTTTGGTGTTCACCTTTATTTACCTGTCCCACTTCTGGTGTTCACCTTTATTTACCTGTCTCACCTGTGGTGTTCACATTTATTTACCTGGCTCAACTTGGTGTTCACCTTTATTTACCTGTCCCACTTCTGGTGTTCACCTTTATTTACCTGTCTCACCTGTGGTGTTCACCTTTATTTACCTGTCTCACTTCTGGTGTTCACCTTTATTTACCTGTCTCACCTGTGGTGTTCAACTTTATTTACCTGTCTCACCTGTGGTGTTCACATTTATTTACCTGGCTCAACTTTGGTGTTCACCTTTATTTACCTGTCCACTTCTGGTGTTCACCTTTATTTACCTGTCTCACCTGTGGTGTTCACCTTTATTTACCTGTCTCACTTCTGGTGTTCACCTTTATTTACCTGTCTCACCTGTGGTGTTCAACTTTATTACCTGTCTCACCTGTGGTGTTCACATTTATTTACCTGGCTCAACTTTGGTGTTCACCTTTATTTACCTGTCTCACTTCTGGTGTTCACCTTTATTTACCTGTCTCACCTGTGGTGTTCAACTTTATTTACCTGTCTCACCTGTGGTGTTCACATTTATTTACCTGGCTCAACTTTGGTGTTCACCTTTATTTACCTGTCCACTTCTGTGTTCACCTTTATTTATCTGTCTCACCTGTGGTGTTCACCTTTATTTACCTGTCCCACTTCTGGTGTTCACCTTTATTTACCTGTCTCACCTGTGGTGTTCAACTTTATTTATCTGTCTCACCTGTGGTGTTCACATTTATTTACCTGGCTCAACTTTGGTGTTCACCTTTATTTACCTGTCCCACTTCTGGTGTTCACCTTTATTTACCTGTCTCACCTGTGGTGTTCAACTTTATTTATCTGTCTCACCTGTGGTGTTCACCTTTATTTACCTGTCTCACTTCTGGTGTTCACCTTTATTTACCTGTCTCACCTCTGGTGTTCACCTTTATTTACCTGTCCCACTTCTGGTGTTCACATTTATTTACCTGGCTCAACTTTGGTGTTCACCTTTATCTGTCTCACCTGTGGTGTGCACCTTTATTTACCTGTCTCACCTGTGGTGTTCACATTTATTTACCTGGCTCAACTTTGGTGTTCACCTTTATTTACCTGTCCCACTTCTGGTGTTCACCTTTATTTACCTGTCTCACCTGTGGTGTTCAACTTTATTTATCTGTCTCACCTGTGGTGTTCACCTTTACCTGTCTCACTTCTGGTGTTCACCTTTATTTACCTGTCCCACTTCTGGTGTTCACCTTTATTTACCTGTCCACTTCTGGTGTTCACATTTATTTACCTGGCTCAACTTTGGTGTTCACCTTTATCTGTCTCACCTGTGGTGTTCACATTTATTTACCTGGCTCAACTTTGGTGTTCACCTTTATCTGTCTCACCTGTGGTGTGCACCTTTATTTACCTGTCTCACCTGTGGTGTGCACCTTTATTTACCTGTCTCACCTGTGGTGTGCTGAGGGAAACACGGTGGGTGGAGCCTCCAGATGTTTTTTCTCTTGTTATGCTGTGATGTCATCATGTTTGAGTATTTATAAAAAACATAATGAAGATTGAGATCATCACTTCCTGCGGCGTGTCAGCCGATTAAAATTCGGTTCTTCTGTTTCCTCAGAATACAACCTTTATCTGTCTCACCTGTGGTGTTCACCTTTATTTACCTGTCTCACCTGTGGTGTTCACCTTTATTTACCTGTCCCACTTCTGGTGTTCACCTTTATTTACCTGTCCCACTTCTGGTGTTCACCTTTATTTACCTGTCTCACCTGTGGTGTTCACCTTTATTTACCTGTCTCACTTCTGGTGTTCACCTTTATTTACCTGTCTCACCTGTGGTGTTCAACTTTATTTACCTGTCTCACCTGTGGTGTTCACATTTATTTACCTGGCTCAACTTTGGTGTTCACCTTTATTTACCTGTCCCACTTCTGGTGTTCACCTTTATTTACCTGTCTCACCTGTGGTGTTCACCTTTATTTACCTGTCTCACTTCTGGTGTTCACCTTTATTTACCTGTCTCACCTGTGGTGTTCAACTTTATTTACCTGTCTCACCTGTGGTGTTCACATTTATTTACCTGGCTCAACTTTGGTGTTCACCTTTATTTACCTGTCCCACTTCTGGTGTTCACCTTTATTTACCTGTCTCACCTGTGGTGTTCACCTTTATTTACCTGTCTCACTTCTGGTGTTCACCTTTATTTACCTGTCTCACCTGTGGTGTTCAACTTTATTTATCTGTCTCACCTGTGGTGTTCACCTTTATTTACCTGTCTCACTTCTGGTGTTCACCTTTATTTACCTGTCCCACTTCTGGTGTTCACCTTTATTTACCTGTCTCACCTGTGGTGTTCACCTTTATTTACCTGTCTCACTTCTGGTGTTCACCTTTATTTACCTGTCTCACCTGTGGTGTTCAACTTTATTTACCTGTCTCACCTGTGGTGTTCACATTTATTTACCTGGCTCAACTTTGGTGTTCACCTTTATCGTTCTCACCTGTGGTGTTCACCTTTATTTACCTGTCTCACCTGTGGTGTTCACCTTTATTTACCTGTCTCACTTCTGGTGTTCACCTTTATTTACCTGTCTCACCTGTGGTGTTCAACTTTATTTACCTGTCTCACCTGTGGTGTTCACATTTATTTACCTGGCTCAACTTTGGTGTTCACCTTTATTTACCTGTCCCACTTCTGGTGTTCACCTTTATTTACCTGTCTCACCTGTGGTGTTCACCTTTATTTACCTGTCTCACTTCTGGTGTTCACCTTTATTTACCTGTCCCACTTCTGGTGTTCACCTTTATTTACCTGTCCCACTTCTGGTGTTCACATTTATTTACCTGGCTCAACTTTGGTGTTCACCTTTATCTGTCTCACCTGTGGTGTGCACCTTTATTTACCTGGCTCACCTGTGGTGTGCACCTTTATTTACCTGGCTCACCTGTGGTGTGCACCTTTATTTACCTGGCTCAACTTTGGTGTTCACCTTTATCTGTCTCACCTGTGGTGTTCACATTTATTTACCTGGCTCAACTTTGGTGTTCACCTTTATCTGTCTCACCTGTGGTGTGCACCTTTATTTACCTGTCTCACCTGTGGTGTGCACCTTTATTTACCTGTCTCACCTGTGGTGTGCTGAGGGAAACACGGTGGGTGGAGCCTCCAGATGTTTTTTTCTCTGTTATGCTGTGTGTCATCATGTTTGAGTATTTATAAAAAACATAATGAAGATTGAGATCATCACTTCCTGCGGCGTGTCAGCCGATTAAAATTCGGTTCTTCTGTTTCCTCAGAATACAACCTTTATCTGTCTCACCTGTGGTGTTCACCTTTATTTACCTGTCCCACTTCTGGTGTTCACCTTTATTTACCTGTCTCACCTGTGGTGTTCACCTTTATTTACCTGTCTCACTTCTGGTGTTCACCTTTATTTACCTGTCTCACCTGTGGTGTTCACATTTATTTACCTGGCTCACTTTGGTGTTCACCTTTATTTACCTGTCCCACTTCTGGTGTTCACCTTTATTTACCTGTCTCACCTGTGGTGTTCACCTTTATTTACCTGTCTCACCTGTGGTGTTCACATTTATTTACCTGGCTCAACTTTGGTGTTCACCTTTATTTACCTGTCCCACTTCTGGTGTTCACCTTTATTTACCTGTCTCACCTGTGGTGTTCACCTTTATTTACCTGTCTCACCTGTGGTGTTCACTTTATTTATCTGTCTCACCTGTGGTGTTCCCTTTATTTACCTGTCTCACTTCTGGTGTCACCTTTATTTACCTGTCCCACTTCTGGTGTTCACCTTTATTTACCTGTCTCACCTGTGGTGTTCACCTTTATTTACCTGTCTCACTTCTGGTGTTCACCTTATTTACCTGTCTCACTGTGGTGTTCAACTTTATTTACCTGTCTCACCTGTGGTGTTCAC